TAAATTAAAAAAAATAAAAAAATATTATTATTTTTTAAAAAAAGGGGGGGGTAACCCAAAGGGGCTTTTACAGCGCTGCGGGGTAGGGAAGGAACGAGGGATTGGATGCAAAAGGGGAGGAGGATGATCAAAAGGTTACAGAAAACAGCAGGGCGGGGGGATAGTAGGGGGGTAGAGGGTAGCAAGATTGAAGTAGAAAGGGTAAAGGTATCAAAATTTTGTGAAGTCGTTGTTTCAAAAAGTCAATGGAGATTGATAAAAGGTGGCCTTTCAGGAGAAGGGAAGGTAAAGAGAGAGCAGCGGGCGAAACGATGAGGAGGAAAAATTCTGCGGCTTGTTGATAAAGTGGGCAGTCCAACGAATGTGCTGACGATAATGGATCTTGGAAATTTTCTCACAGAGAGGAGCAGGGCACCTTCTCATGGATATCCATGAGTTTAAACAAGGTATGGAAATGCAAAGGGGAGAGGTAGTCTAGCAAACCGTCGACACTGGGATAAAAAGGGATGGCCGTAACCTATTACTCGGTTTAAAAAGTTTGAAGTTTGTTGCCGACATAGTAGACCAACTTGTTGCCACGAGTGTAAAGGGTGGGAAGATTTTCAGCAAAATATCCGTAAATGGAATACCTCTAAAATGAAACTGGTAGGTCATGTATCTGACCGCGCAGCGGGTGTCTGCCTGTTCATTGCCCTTACGTCAACATGACCGGGGGACCCAACAAAAAACAAATCTTTATGCTGGTAAAAAATGCGGCGAAAGCCAAAGTTGGATATGGAAACTAAAGGGGTGAGGTGTATCAAATTCCCTGTATAGCCTGTAAGCCCCAAAGGGAGTCTGAGAAAACCCCACAAATGATGACCAGGCATGATGCAATATGGATAAGTGCTGTAAGGATGGCATACAATTCAGAGTAAAATATAGCCAAAGAGATAAATGCCTTGTAAAAACCTTTTGTCCGGAAACATTTCTGCAAATCCAAGGGGCCGTCAGAAGACTTCAAAGCCATCTGTGTACACAGAAATTGGCATAAAGAATGAGAGGAAAAGTGTCAAGAAAAAAGACGACGGGAAGTGACCGTGACAGTTGGGCTTCGGCAAGGAGGAGAAAGAACAGACCGAACAGCGGGGAACTTCCGGGGAGGGGGGTAGGAAAAGTGAGATGCTACATGTACATAAAAAGGTGGTAACTGAAGAGAAGACAAGACAAATGAAGGCGAAGAGAGAAGGGTGGAGTAAACAGGGCGGCGAACAAAGAAAGAGGTCTACTAATAATCATGACCATTTAAAAGGAAGGATTGCGGAATCATGGAGGCATACATAGTAGAAGGGCCCAATGGGCATCATGGCGTTTGGATAAGGATGGAACGTTCGCTCTGCATAGAGGCCTCAACGGGGGAAGAGCGATAAACACCAAGGCATAAACGTAATCCTTGGGATGAATGGGTTAAGGCTAGAGAAGTACAGGAGATGCCAACCGAAAGATCTGGCCCACCATAATAAAAGTTTCGAAAAATAAGGGTGGAATGAAAGGGCGAAGGAGGGTTCGACGATCAGCTCCCCATGAAAGTGACCCAGGGTTTTAAAAAGGGTTTTAAACCCGGGCCCTGTGACAAGTTGCCTTCAGAGGGGTAATGTGGGGTTTTTCAGGATAACCTACGATCAAAGAGGAGGCCCAGAAACTTGACTATCATGTTCAGGATAGGGAGCCATAGAGGTACAAAGATGATCGGAGAGACAGAGCATCTAGTGAAAGTAATTTGGTGGGTTTTAGTGCTGGAAAATTTAAACCCACGTGGGTTTGGGCCCAATTTGGGAAAACCACGGCGACTGCATGCTGGAGAGAAACGAAATAACGGACAAAGAAGCGCATGCACAGGCAAAAGCGAAGTCATCACCATATTGATGAAGACAGAGGCCAAAATCATTAATAGAAAGGGAGAAAAAGGTTGTGCACAGAACACATCCCTGGGGGAAAACCTCACGGGATAAATTTCGGGGAAAAGGGGCACATTATTAACCCGAACACGGAAATGCCTGTCAGTTAAAAAGTTTTTAAAAGGAGGATGGTAAGATTGCCTCGAAGGCATAAGGAATGGCTTGGGCAAATTTTTAACTCCAAGTTGTGTCATATGCCTTCTCAAGGCAAAAATTAGGGGCAAAAAACTGAGTGGTTATTTGCAAAGGCTTTACGAACAACGTATCTAAGCGTAGAAAGGGGTTATGGTAAACGTCCCTTACGAAGCCTATTGACGAGGGGAAAGAGACTGTTGTGTGTCCTAAATACCACACTAAACGCTATTTATAGGCGTTCCAAATCACTTTGCAAACTGCACGGTAAGAGCAATGGACGATAGTGGGAGGTTTCATGCCCCGTAGTGCCTGGTTTTGCGAAAGGGAGAAAAATGGCGAATTTCCACAGCAGTGGAAGAACCCCTTGTGACCAAATAAGATTGTAAAGGCGTAATAGGACTGCAAAGGCTGACTGATGTAAATGTTGTAGCATACGAATATGAATGTCGTAGGGCCCAGCTGCCGATGATCGGCAAGCTGAGAGTGTTGCCTCCAGTTCTTGAAGTGTAAAAGGCACATTATACTGTTCTTCTCTGAAGAAAAAAGTCCAAGGGTGCTAACTCTCTGGCAGACTTTGAGGAAAGAAATGAGGGGCATAGATGGAGTCCCTGAGATTATTATTATTATTATAATCAAAAAGAAGCGCTAAGCCACAAGGGCTATACAGCAGGAGTCCCTGAGAAATACGGACCAGATGATTGCCAATTTCATTGGCAACATCTAGTGGGTTTGCTATATCAACACCGGCAACCCGCAGAACAGGAGCCGGGTCAGGAGAATATTTACCACTCAGTTTTCATACTTTTTTCCAGACTGCACTTATAGAGGAAGCAGAGGTGATGGTGGAGACATAATCTCGCCAGGAAGTGCATTTAGCGTCATGGATGACACGGCGAGCGATTGCATGCTTCTGCTTAAAATCAAGAAGTCTCTCAGTGGTTCTATTGTACCGGTACCTGCCCCATGCAGCACGTTTCAAACGTACTGCACGAGCACAAGCAGGAGACCACCAAGGCTCGCATTTCTAAGAATGCCTGCCCAAAGTTTGGGGTATAGAATGAGAAGCTGCGGTTAAAATGGAGGACGAGAAGAGGTGTAAAAGCTCATCGATGGAGGACGAAGAAGGAACCTCCCTAAAAACAGTTAAGTGTGAGTAAAGGTTCCAATTTGCCTGATCAAATTGCCAGCCTGGGATGCGAAGAGGTGGTGAATATGAAGGGGAAGTAAATGATT